GGTAAGTATATAAGAAGAATGTTGTTAAAACGTGCTCATAAGTAATTTTTAAAGTTATACCTTAAGGTTACGTTTAGTAGGAAGTATTGAAAATAAGATATTGGAATTGGAATTACAATAGAGAAAATCTATTAAAATAGTATTTAGTATAAAAAAATTATTTTTTATATGAGATTGGTCAAACCCATATATGTAGGATTGGAGAATACCGTGAAGAGAAATGGTATTTCCCAATCCCACTTCTATGGGTTTGTCTAACCCCATATAATAAGCAATTACTCATATTAAATATTATTTTAATAATTTTTTAATTACAATCACAATCCCAATCTCATAATTTTAATTTTTTTTTTTACCAGAGTCACATTTTTAACGTTTCGTACCAATAAAAGTCATGGAAAACATTATCAAAGTAGCCGAAGTAGCTTTTGAAAAAAAGCCTTATAATTATAAGTAAGGGTGGAAACAGGCCAGGCTTTACTCTTAACAGGCCAGGCCTGTTTTGTAGCCTATAGGCCTGAGTCTGGCCTGTGGCCTGTTACAGGCTTATTTTTCAGCCTAAGCCTGGCCTGTATAAAGGCCTGACCTGGCCTGAAACCTGTTAAAAAGCCTGTTTTTTTTAAAAAATTCAAATTATAATATATTTTTTTAGAAAAAAGCTAAAATAAAAAAGTATACATAATAATTAATTTTTTTAGTTTTGTCTTTTATTTAAATTTTAGTATCATAGGTGCTGTTTTAAATCTTAATTATAATTTATAAGGATATTATTAAAAACTAATTCGAATTATATGTCAAAATTTGGGACAAAACTATGTTTAAGTACCAAAAAAATTAAGACAAATAAATAAAAAAAACTATTAATTTTACAATGAATAAAGAGAGTATCATAATTTAATTAATATAATACATAAGTTAATTAATCTGTCATTCTTGGAACAAAAATTGTCTTTCCTATTTTATTTATATTTTTAAGATTTAAAGATCATATTATTTATTGATATTTTTATTTTAAATTATATTTTTATCTTTACTTGTCAACTAAATTTCAAAATCTAAGGAAGAACTAAGCTATTAATTATATATTAAAATTAAAAAATAAATTAAAAGTACACATTAACAATGCCATTAACTAATTTTTTTATATATTATAATTATAAGTTTTTAACAGGCTCAGGCCGGCCTAACAGGCTTAACAGGCCTTTTAGAGAGCCTAAGCCTAGCCTATTAACTTTAACAGGCCTTCAAACAGGCCTGAGCCTATCTCTTTTGGAAAACAGGCCAGGCCAGGCCAGGTCAAATACAAGCCAGGCTGTAGGCCCCTGACAGGCAACTTGGCCTGTTTCCACCCCTACTTATAAGCGAGTTTGGAGCCTTCTACTACCACGAGGCCAATCCTTCATCCAATCACATTTTTAAAAGCGTATTTGGATCAACATTTTGCTTCCTCTTAAATGCATGGTCATTCACACTTTGAAGAAATGACTTTAGACAACTTTACGCTAAAGCAATATGACGGCATCCGGCGGGGCTCTCCATTTGGATTAAGATAATCCACGTACATAGCCATCTCTAATACTACTCCTCCGATCTTTAATATAGGACTCAATTGGTGAGTTAGTTTTGGTCCTAAATATAAGAACCATTTCTCATATTTATCAATTATCTCTACATTACCCCTATGGATATTCTTTCAACCATAACCAAGTAAAAGAAAAAGATGGGGTATTAAGAAATATGATTATGGTATTTTAGGAAAAACATGTCATGTTTCTTATAATTAACTAACTTACCTAACTTCTTTAATCTAATCAAATTAGTTAAATAGGTCTTATATTAAAGACCGGAGGAGTATAATATTATCATTTTGAGCCTCAGATTCCACTCTTCTTTTTTCTTAAAATACCAAATATATTAATAAAAAATCCCAACTTCCAGTCTTCCACTCAGTAAAAGGATAACCATCAGCAATTTATTTATTTTTATATAACTCAGAATATCTTTAAGTTATTTTGGATTTGAAACTAATATCTGTCAGATGAGAAAGTGTTAAGATTAAAACTCTCTCAATAAATTCAGTTTTTAGAATTCAAACTTGTATTATTCTTCTTATAAGGTGAGACTTCTTATTATCCTAATAATAAATAACAAAAGGATAACTATTAGAAATTTATTTTATTTTATACTGACGGACGAGCAGGTGGGGGCCACCCTCCGAATGCGTGTCCACACAATTTGCCTTTGGGCTTCGGCCGTCTCTGGTCATACAAACCGCGTAATCTGATTCCAATTTTAAGGTTTTTTTTCCCCCTTCTGCGACAACACACAAAACCCAAAGGAAAAGGTGCTAAATAAATTCCCCCTCTATTTTGAAAACTTCAATACAACGGAACAATTTGAAATTTAAAAATGCTGTCCTTTTGCCATCCCTGCCCGTCGCTTTTAAAAAAATGCCACCTTCCCAAATCAGTTGCACATGACATGCCCTTGCTTTAAGATACTACTCCGTCTTTTTATTATAAGATTTTTTTAACTAAATTATACAGTTTAAAAAATAGTTAAAATTATATCACTCAAAAAAATAGTTAAAATTAGTTAAAAATAATTAATATGTAGCAAATACAGTTTTTTTTCCAAATATATTACTTCATCCCTTATTATAAGATCCTTTTAACTAAATTGCGCGATTTGAAGACATAGTTAAAAGTAATTAATATATAGCAAATATAATTTTTTTTCAAATATACCCTTATATATAAATAGATAAATGTGAGAGAGTAATAGTGAGATAAATGAAAAAAGAAAATGTATTAAATATATTAAATTATGGGTAAAATAGGTAATATCACATTAAATACTCAGAAAAACTCAAAGAAGATCTTATAAAAAGAAACAAACTCATTGAAGAAATTAAATCTTATAATAAGAGACGGAGGGAGTACCCTTATATATAAATGGATAAATATAAAAGAGTAATAGTGAGATAAATAAAAAAAGAAGATATATTAAATATATTAAATTAGAAATAAAATATGTAATATTGTATTAAATGTTCACACAAATTCAAAAAAGATCTTATAAAAAAATAAACATATTTAAAAAATTAGGTTTTATAATAATGGACAGAGAGAGGCTAGCAGGGTGCTATGATTTGCTGAGCTATCACTTTTTATAAAAAAAAAAAAAAGAGAGGTCGCACGGCAAAAAGATACTTTTAAATTTCAGGTTCATCCCCACATTTTGACTTGGCATTAGTGATGTTTAGGATATTAATTTGAATTTCTGAAATGTTTGAGGTATTTATTTAGAACTTTTTCAAATCCTTTTTTGGCATCAGAATTCTTTCAAATCCAAAAGGCCTATTGATGCATTTTTGTTATTTTATATAATTAAACACGCTCATTTATATACAAATGTCAACACTAGATTTCATTTTTATCGCGGCAAAAAATCGAATGATTTTATCGCAGTCCAATCTTAAACAAACCAATCATAATAACATTTAAATATTTTTATTTTTATCCTGTAATAATTTATATAAAAATTAAACAAACTATTGCTGATAAATTTTGCGAATTAATATTCATATCTACCTACCACTCCCCGTTTCACACGAAACTGTCGTTTTTTGAGATGGAGTAGTTAGGCTTCCTTGCCTCCTTTTAGGTAAAACAGAAACCTGCTCAAGTGAAACGTTGTATTTAAATATATTTTTATTGAATTTTTTTCCATAAAATATGATAGCTTGATAAGCATACTATACTCTAGACTAAAATGTACGAAAAGCACATCATTTATATTTCCAATTTTATTTTTTTAATTATATTAATTATGATTATTAAAAATAAATTATATTTCTTAATTTATATGCCTTCCAACAACTTGCTCCGCTTGTTTCTTATTATTATAGAACACCTTTCATAAGATATATGTGGTCCTTATTATATTATAAAAGGTTAATATGATCTTTAGTTCCTTAAAATTCTGCTCATTTTGATTTTGATTCCTTAAGTTTCAAAGCATCGGATTTGGTCTCTTAAGAGATAAAATGGTATATTTTTTTATTGAATTATAGGACTAATTTTTTAAATTAAAAAAACTTAAGGAACTAAAACGTATAACTTTAAATTTGAGGGATTAAAATCAAAATAAGAACAAATTTATAGGAATTAAAAATTATATTAAGCCCATTTAAAATCTCATTAATTGTAATTTTCTATGATTTGTTCGATGTGGCACGTCTCTAATCCTATTTATAATAGGAGAAAAAAATTTTAAACATAATTATAAGGCATGCCATAATTTTTTACCACTAGTTTTCATTTTTACTCCTTATTAAACATTGGCGTATGTTACTTAATTTTTAGTGTGTATATATACTTAATGGAGTCAAAATTGAACACTTATTAAAGTTTTTTAAAAATTTTAATATTTTTCTTGACTTAGATGACATATGTTAAGAGTGATTTATAAATAGAATTATAATGATCCTTCATCACACTATTAAATATGGGTAAATTAAAATTTTTTAGATAAAATTAATAATTCAATCACATTTTTCTAATTTTAATAAAATTATTAGAAATGCTTTATAATAAAAATTAGAAAGAATATATATTTTTTTTTCAGGGAGAAATAATATATTTTTAAAAGAACAGTGTATAATTTCATTTCTTTCCTAAGAAAAGTACAATTAGGGATGCTTGGAAACCTAAAAACCATTTTTTAGTAGTGTTTTCATGATAAAACGAGATAAAATTTTTCTTATATTTATCATAAAATTATTTTTAAAATTATGATTTGATTTTTATGTAAATATCTCTTTCACCATTAATTAAGCCATTTATAAGTCACCCACTTTATTTATTTGTTTTCGGCCCTCCCTGCTCTTGTCTCTTTCCCAGCACGGCCTTCTAACTTCTAACAAATGGCCACGTCGTTACATTTCCGTATTTATGGCCGGCATGACTCTTCGATGTTTAGTTGAGTTTCTCTGTTTCTTTATTTCTGCCGGGCCGGTTGCCGGAAGAATTCTATATTTTTTTAGTCAACAAAAAATAAAAAAGGGATTCCATAAGGACGCAAAGCACACCGCTTTGATTTCACTGCAGTTTCTCAGAGAAGACGACCGGAAAGTCCGAAATATATTTGAAATACTGCAAGAAATTGGTTTCGGAGAGAAATATGTCTACGCTGATTGTACCCCCAGCTCCTGCTTCCCCAAGAGATGATGCTATACAGCTCTATCGAGCTTTCAAGGGTACCTTCTCCTTTTGTCTCCATTTCTCTCCACTCTTTTTGGAGTTAAATTTGCTGGTGACAGTGTAGTGTGATGAAACTCCTAGTTGAGGAATGAGGGACGATTTCCCATTTTCATTTTCAAATTTGTTGCTCTGATATTTTAACTGATCATTCTTAAGTGAGTTTCAATATCTTTTTGCCATGAAGTTGTGTGGGTAATTGTGGAAGGCACCTATGATTTTGTGGAAAGGGAGGTCAAATTGGGCACCTTTGTGTCAATTATTAAGCTATCGATTTTCGCTTTTTAAAATGAGTCATACTGCAGTTAATCCTGTTCAACGATTCCAGTAGACATTTCAAAGCATAGTATGGTTGGGATGATGTCCCAAAACCAGCATGAATTTCTTGGGGGAACTTATTCTGATATGAGGGCTTGTTCATGTCTTCTTAATCCCTTTCCTACTTTACATACGTGAGATAATAATTAGGTTATTGGGTTACAATCCCTAACATCAGGATCTTTGATTGGAGCTCACAGCAGGCCTGAAAACATTTCTGACTTTTTCAAAACTCTAATTTGGTAGCTACCAGATAACTATCTGGGTTTCTTCAGTATGTTTTCTCATCCTAATTCTGTGCTGTGGCTTCTTTGCCAAACCTCTCTTCACATATTGAAGCTGCTTTTGGTCCTCTAGCTTATTCCAAAATTATCTTTTAATGTTATATTGCATTCCAAATGGTCGTTAATGGATGTAATGGAAAAGGATTAATTTGAAACAATTTGAAAGTTGAGGACCAAATTGAATCCGGAAAGAATATTTAAAAAAAATAAAAGAATGGACCAAAACCATTATTAATATGTGCTGTGCCCTTTTTTGCTATTACCTTAAGAGGTTTCGTAGCCTGGCTACCCATACAGTCCACCTTTGGCACTTGAGCTTGCCTCACTCAAGTGCATAATTCATTCTTAAATTTTTTTTTTTTTTTCTGTTTCATAAATTCGTTGCATTCACAGGATTCGGATGTGATACTAGTGCTGTCATTAATATACTTGCTCACCGTGATGCCACACAACGTTCCTACATCCAACATGAATACCGAGCTATGTATTCCGAGGACCTTCTTAACCGCTTATCTTCTGAACTTAGTGGCAAGTTAGAGGTATTAATTAATATTGCTTTGAAATCCATTGTGATGTGTTTCATATTGTTTATAATAATGTTTTCTTTTTATTTATTATTTAATGACTGTTTACTATTCTATTTTGTTTTTCATTTTTCTGATTTTTAGAATGCAGTTCTGCTTTGGATGCATGACCCTGCGGGACGTGATGCTGTAATCCTTAGGCAGACACTAGTTGTAGATAGAAACCTTGAAGCTGCTACTGAAGTGATATGTTCGCGACTTCCATCCCAGCTACAATATTTAAAACAGATATATCATTCTAAGTTTGGAGTTTATCTTGAACATGACATTGAAAGGAATACATCTGGAGATCATAAAAAGGTGAGGTTTCTCTATGTCCTTGTGTGTGTGTGTGTGTGTGTATTCCAGTAACAGTGAACTGTAGGTTTTTAACAGTTCTGGTTGATTTGTCTCTTGGAGGTTGAATTGCACCATGTCATTTCAGGTGGCTTTGAAATTACATTTTTGCATGCGAGAAGAACGATGGGCTTGAAAATTCTTTTTAACTATTATATTGTTTTGCCTCCTCCAGGATAGATCTATTCTGCCTTTTTTTTTTTTAATTGGCTCATCATTTGCAGTTAACATCTTTAAAGTTACATTCCTTGTGGTGATCATCTTTTGCTCAACAAAATCTCATTGGATTATTCAATGCAGTGACGGACATTTGAATAATCTCTCCTTGTGATTTTTCCAACGGTACAGTGATATGGAAAATCTGGAATTTTCGTTTTGAAGATATAAGAACAATGAAGCTGCTATTGCTGATACTTTTTGTTTAAAAATTGAGCCAGATCTTCAATGCATATATAAGCTCTCGTTGTTGCTATTGCTGATATCTATATTTATTTTTTTCTGAGTCAGATCTTGCTTGCATATATAAGCTGTCCTCGTCTTGAAGGCCCTGAGGTTAATAGAGAGATGGCTGAGAAGGATGCAAAGGTTCTCTACAAGGCAGGGGAGAAGAAATTAGGAACTGATGAGAAGACTTTCATCCAAATTTTCAGTGAACGAAGTGCGGCACAGTTGAATGCCACAAGTTCTTATTACCATGATATGTATGGGCACTCACTGAAGAAGGTATCTTTTACTTGATTTCCCCCTTCAAGTACTTTCTTCTTTAAAATCTTGTTCTGGTGCTTAACTACATTGCACCCACATCAGGCGGTAAAGAACGAAACATCAGGGAATTTCCGTTATGCACTTTTGACAATAGCTCAATGTGCACAGAATCCAGCAAAGTATTTTGCAAAGGTACTTCCTTGCACTTCAAAGTTAGGTACTACTTCCGGTCCTAAATATAAGAGTTAGTAAAAGGATTTATTTTAGTCTTAAATATAAGACCTTATTTCATTTTGTCTCTCAAATTTATAATTTTTGTCCTAAACTCTTCCTATTGATTGCATATGTTGAGATATTTTCCTCCAATGAAGTATCCAATGTAAATAACTAAAAAGGGAAGAAACCAACATACATTTATTACAAATAACTAACTTAACTAATTTTTTTTATCTTTTACAAATCAGTATTTTAGGTATGATATTCAGGATCAGAGGGAGTATTTGCTTCTCATAGCAATATCATTTATTCTTTTGAATTACCAAACGTGGTGGCAACCATGGCTTAGTTATGCTTTATAAAAGAAATAGGCTGCACATGGTCCTTTATGGCCAGTTCATCGGAAATACCATCCCAGTATCATTTAATTACATTGAAGCAACAATCTTTGTATTCAATCATGAGTTTTTATGTTATACTAAGGATGAAGGATGCAATAACTGGTGCAAGTTTTGATGGTACAAACCATCCTTCTGTGCTCTATTTTCTGCATCTTGTTATCTAGAAAGGGAGGAAATGCCAGTAATTTGCCGGACTGAGTCCAAGAAGTTTACTTCGGAGTCATGAAGGAACCTTTCAAACACTCCTCTTTGCCAATATATGGATATATATTCTTGTTTTCTTCCCAATGCAGGTTTTACACAGAGCAATGAAAGGTCTAGGGACTAACGATTCTGCACTTATAAGGGTGGTTGTAACAAGGACTGAGATTGATATGCAGTATATAAAAGTTGAATATTTGAAGAAATATAAGAAGACACTGAATGATGCAGTTCACTCAGAAACATCTGGCCACTACAGGGCTTTTCTTCTAGCACTTTTGGGTCCCAACCAGTAGAATAGTCAAGATGATTATGATGTTGGTGTTTTGTGTGGAGTAATTTCAAACTCTATTAAATATAGTAATATTATGAGCAAGATGAGTTGTGTTTCGTGTTTGGTACTTAGGTTTCGGTTTGAAACTTGGGATGAAATGCTGTTGTTGTGTAATTATATCGTGCCCTGTGATCCTTATTTTCCACTATGATGGGATTTCAATTGTATGCTGTAAACTCTTTATGTACATATTTCTTGCATAATAGTGCCTTGGAGGAAAATTTTAAATATTTTGTTTTTCACTCAGTATTAGACTCTACTGATATAAAAAAAAAAATATAATTCAAGAGATTTGAGATTAGTGATTTTATTGAACCGCAATGAAACGCAGAAAATTTGGCCGCTCGTGTATATATGATTCACTCACCTAGAAAGAACTCTTCTCCATGCAAGTGTATTTAAGATATATTCAGAATCATAATAGATGTCTTCAATCACACTATTGGCATAGACAGATTTCTGTCGGGGATCCAAGATTACCGATACTGTCAACCATGGGTTCAAATTGTCTAATATCATACTAAGCATATTGGGAGACATTTCTATAAATACGATATTCAAAACACTCCTCCACAACATGGTTTGAACATGAGCCATTTGATGAAAACATGGGTTTAATGCCATATGGAGCAATCTGGAAAATCTCAATATAATTTGATAAAATACGTTTAAAAAAACGTGTCTGTGATCTATAATAATAGATTTTTATTTTAGATGAGCTTTATATATAATATTTATATACTCAATATGAAAATTTTTATTAAAACTCAAGTACGTAATTTAATTATAAAAATTTATAAAATGCAGACCGAACACTTGTATGTAAAAATGACCTCTAGCATAGAATAGACAAAAGCCATCTACATATTGAGGACATGTTTGTATCTTTCTTACAGCTTCTATTTTTAGAGTTTGAGATAGGCATGATTGAAATGTGCTAGAAATATGGAGAGAATTGTGTTTGGGAGAGGAAAATGTCAACGCTAAGCTTACCCCCAATTCCTCCTTCCCCCAGGGAAGATGCTGAACAGCTTCACCGTGCTTTCAAAGGTACACTTTCTTTGTTTCAATTTCTCTCCTGGTATGTTTCCATATGTTGTTCATAATGGGTTTCAATATCTGGGAAAGACCTGGTTTTAGACACTGAGCATTTTAACAGAGGAAGCTGATATGGGCACCTTTGCGTTAAGCAGTACGCCAATTTTCATTTTGTGAGATGAATTATACTGCACTAAATCATGTATGCCAGTATCTATGGTCGATGTGAATGTCTCAAAGCTGATATGAATTTCTGAGGGAAAATTATTCTAAAATAAGATTTGTAGATGTATTCTTAACCTCTGCTGTATTTTACATTGGATGATAAAAAGGTAGCATGGTAGGAAACCCCAACAACGGAGTCCGGGATTAGAACTCATTGTTGGCCAGAAAACTTCTTTCTGACATTTTATATTTTTAGATTTTGGCTTCTAGATGAAGTATTCTCATCAGCTACAGCTCTTAAAAAAGAGTCATATATGTGCTCTATGATAATTATCCTTGAAGTAATTTATTCTTTTTAGTTTGGTCCCTGTATTATTTGTGTTCCCAATGATCTCTGATGTATGCAATGGAAAGGACGAATGTGGCATACATTGGAAAGTAGAGGACATTTCACTTTAAAAAAGAAATGAAAAAAGAAAAGAAGTCAAGAGTCCAAATTGAAACAAATTAGTTAACAGACCAAAATGATCGTCAAGCCATTATTAATTTGTGCCGTTCTCAGTTCCTCCATAACTCTCTCTCTCTCTCTCTCTCTTAATTTCCTCGCATTCACAGGATATGGATGTGACACTAAAGCTGTCATTGACATCCTTGCTCATAGAGATGCTACACAACGTGCCTACATCCAACATGAATACAGAACTATGTATTCTAAGGAGCTTCTTAAACGCTTATCTTCTGAGCTTAGTGGCAGGTTAGAGGTACTGATAAGACAATAAGGTTACTTAGAACTCCACTGTGATTTCATTTCATGTTTATAATCATTAACTGAATCATTAGTATATATTAATTCACCTAAGAAACGCCTCTCTTTTTAAGCACTCAGTAACTTTTTACTATAACGGAAAAGAGATAGTAACTGTTTAGTATGGTGTTTTGTGTGATTTTTTGTGATTATCAGGATGCAGTTTTGCTTTGGATGCATGACCCTGCAGGACGTGATGCAGAAGTCATTAGGAAGACACTAGTTATGGATCAAAACCTTGAAGCTGCTACAGAAGTGATATGTTCACGAGCTCCATCTCAGATACAATATTTAAGACAGGTTTATTATTCAAAGTTTGGAGTTGTCCTCGAGCAAGACATTGAAATGATGACATCTGGAGATCATAAGAGGGTGACCTTCCTCGTTGTCCTTGTTTGTGGCTTTTCAAAAAGACACCTCATGCCTTCCGAAATAGTTAAAAATAAGGGTTACAGTACAAATTTGTCTTGAAAATTTTCCCTCAGGAGTAATATTGTCCCAAAAGTTTTAAGATGAAGTAATGTTGCCCTTCCACTAAAAATATTAACAATTAACATCAATTTTTTAAAGGTTAATGTTAGTTTTTTAATGGGTAGGGTGACATTGAACCCAAAAAAACTTCCGGAGTAACATCACTTTTAAACGAAAACTTTTAGAATAAATTTGCATCTTAACCCTAAAAGTAACATGCTCTATTGGTTGAAAAACTCACAAGTTCCCTCACATCCTAATAATCTAGCCGTTTATGATGTTTGGCATGGGATGAAAACATGTAATTTATTGTCGCTTTTCAGATGGTTTTAAGTTGTGTTTGAGTAGGGTCTTATAATGGGCTTCAAAATCCTTCCAAGTGCTTATTGGTTTGCCTCTTCCAGGAGACCTCTGTATGGCATTGTTTTTAGCATCTTGGTTGCTTTACATATAAAGCACTTTTAACATATGAAAACTTACTTTCCTTGTGGTCCTGATGATCTGCTCAATGAATCTGATTGGTTTTTCTTGGGCCGTAACAATGGAGATGCTATGGCTGATACTTCTTTTTTTTTTGTGTGTAAATATTGAGTCAGATGTTGCTTAGATATGTGAGCACTCCTCGTTATGAAGGCCCTGAGGTGAGCAGAGAGATAGCTGAGAAGGATGCAAAGGTTCTGTATAAAGCAGGAGAGAAGAGATTTGGAACTGATGAGAAGACCTTTATCCAAATTTTCAGTGAAAGAAGCAGGCCCCAGTTGAATGCCACAAATTCTTGTTACCATGAATTGTATGGACACTCACTGAAAAAGGTAGTATCTCTTATCAGATTTCCCGATTTTTAAATATTATGCCTTGTTTTTATACTCACATTATCTCTCCATCATTATCCATCACATTAGCCGTCTGTCACAACTGAGCAATCACATTTTTCATCCAATGGCATTCAAGCAACTAAACATAACTAGACAAATCAAACAGCTCGAAGAATACAATTTATAAGTGAAGCCACATGATTTGGCTTCCTACAGAATGCATCTGCTGGAAGTATTCTTGGACTTACCTTGTTCACATCCATATCAGGCAATAAAGAAAGAAACATCAGGGAATTTCTGTTATGCACTTTTGACAACAGTGCGATGTGCAGAGAATCCAGGAAAGTTTTTTGCTAAGGTATTTCCCTGCACTTGGAAGACAGTTATTTAACCGCAATGAGGCTACAATATTTGTGCTCAGTTACAAGTTTTTATGTTAGACCATGGATGAATGATGCAATTAACTGGTGCTGCACATGACGAATGCTTATGTCAGATTTGAGAGAAATTGTGGGGATAGGAATTAATCGAATACTTGTTTTTGCGAGGCAGGGAACAATATAATTGAGTCTGGGCTAATAATAATACTTTTGGCCCATATAAATGCAATTATCCTTCTAATGTGATTCCTTCAGCTTAGTCTCTGGTTTCAATAGAACCAATCTTATCCCTTATGATTTGGGAAATGGGGAAATAATTTGGTTACTTTTCTGTAAGAAAATCTGCATTCAAGGCTTGGCCTGGCCCCTTTGATTTGTTAGTTGACCGGCTTATTCTCTATAGTTTCAATTAAAACCATGTTGTCACTTAAATTTACTTCTCAAAGCAATTTAGTCCCTTTAGTTTCATTTAGAGCAACTTTTTTTTCCTTTGAAGGGAGGGATAGTTTTAGGCAGTTCTGAATTCTTCTTCCATGACAGAAATTTATTGTTCCCCCTTCATTCTCGTTTTAGATCTCTTGAACATAATAATGAGAAGTAACAAGCCGTTCTGATTTAAAGAAGTTTGTTTCACTAGCATACTGGAACCTCTCCAAGACACGCTAATTCCCCCCCCCCCCCCCCCAAAAAAAAAAGAAGGAATGTATCCTCTTGTTTTCTTCTCAACGCAGGTGTTACGTAAGGCGATGAAAGGTTTTGGGACCGATGACTCCACACTTATAAGGGTGATTGTAACAAGGACTGAGTTTGATATGCAGTATATAAAAGCTGAATATGTGAAGAAATACAAGAAGACCCTGAACGATGCGGTTCACTCAGAAACATCTGGCAACTACAGGGCTTTTCTTCTGTCACTATTGGGTCCCAATGAATAGATTTGTCTTGATGATCACTCATTTCTATATTTCCATGTGAAAAGAATTCATTAAAGTGATTAAGGATTAAAAACACTTAAAGTGAGTCAATTGTGTGTTTTGTATATACTAACTACTTTAGTCTCAGACTAGAGATAAAAGATCAATGCAGCGCAATAATCAAGTTTAGCTTAAACTAAACACATTTACATTTTCTTTTACTTGTATTGCACTGAGTTTGAAAAATGAACTCCGTCTCTAATATATTTAACTTAATTTGCTGATGGTGTCATGATGTTTCAGTGTGACTCCATTTCTTGCTGTCACTGCAATTAACCTTAAGAAAATTGACAAGACTAAGCTCACTAGCAACTTATTTGCATGTATATGCTCACTTGAAGTGCATAAATTGGGCATTCCAGCAGATATGAAAGTGTACATTCAAGAAAATGAAATTTTGTGAAGTGACAACTATGAATTGACATTCTGAATTTCTTAAGAGAGGATTCTGCACTGATTGGTTTTGAAGTCAGTATAAAGTGGTCATGTTAATTATCAGGAAAAAAGGACAAAAATTGCTGAGGACAGGTGTACAGAACAACACCAATAATAATAATAATAATGGATGACTTAGCTGAAGGTTGGAAAACATAAGGGAAACAATGTGGTTTGTCTGGAGAAGTGTACATGTGCATGAGTTCAGTGTCAGAGTCATGCACTGATCCTGAAGTCAAATAACAGGCTCAAGCGCCATTTGGAGCTCTCTCTCTCTCTCTCTCCCCCCCCCCCCTTCTCACAGTATAAAATTTCTTATCTTTTTTGGAGTTTCATTTGTATCCGATAAGCACAGCCAAATAAACATAGTCCCGAAACATTAACATGATGCCTTTTTAGAACATCACATAGAAAAGAGTTGCATCCTAAGACAACGGAAATTTCAATGGATTTTAGCACTAAACTTTAAAATGAAAAACTTTTTAATAGTTTTTTTTTTTTGATGAAATATGAAATGACAAGTTGGAGAATTTACTTTTCTAGTTTGGACTTTGGTTACTCGTCAGTCAGTCAAAGCGAAAAAATATTTCACATCGTCGCTTTTTTTATTTGCCTGATTTTTTTTTTTGCCAGTTATTTACCTGCAATACATCGTCGCTTAAAAATCTATACATGTTAAACTTCCGATATTTCTTTTTCCGCATCAACGAGTTTGTCATTAAAATTGTTGATTTGAAGTTTTTCAGACAGACCCAAAAAAAGTCATTAAATAACCTAGATTGTACTAAAACTTAATAGTACTCTATTTAGGAAAAATTTTAAAAAAACAAAAACCTTTTAAATTTTAAAATTTCAAATCAGTTTTATTTACTACACTTTAATAATAATTTATTATATTTGAAAAGCAATAACAACACGTTTTCATAGTAATTTTTTATTTGTAATTTGAGAGATATTTTTTTGGAAAATTTTCCCTTTATTTAACTATCGTTGACATAAATACTCTTTTTCACGATAAAATTAAAGTATAACGACAAAAAATAAGTAATACTTCATTGAAATCTTGAAGGGGTAAATATTTTTAAAAATCGCCAGGCAACATTCTACGAAGAGGAGCGAGTAATTTGGCACTTGAAAATATAATCAGGTTAGTAGGTATTAATTATGGATAACTTATTAGAAAAATTAAATTTTGTTTAGAAACAAAATACTCTCTCTAACTAATTTTATTTACAAGTCACTTTTCGATTTCACCCCTAGCTATTTTTTTGTTGGTATACATTAAATATTGAGAAAAAAGAGAGAGGCGAGACAGATTTGGGTAGGCAAAAATATTTTTTTTTAAAAATTAATAATTTAATATAAATTAATGAGTTAACCGCTCTTTCTTAATTCCCTTGAGATGTCAGGAAGTTACTTACTTTTTTGGTCCTATTTATACAATAGAGAAAGAAGATTTTTTTTTGTCCTATTTATAAATCACTTTATTAAATTTTCAGCGTGAATGTACTATTTTGTCCTTCATTTATTATAATGTAGGCAGTTATATCTTTCGAAATGTGTATATATTAAATATGGGTAAAGTTGAAAAATTGTTACTCCTCTGGTTATATTTATAAGGCACTTTCAGCATATTTTACATAGATCAAGAAAAACCTTAAACTTCATTAACTCTTATTTAAAATTTAGTAACTTTTCAACTTTATCCTTATTTAATATATATTATACCTCATATAAATAAAGTCAACACAATAATAAATTATGGATAAAATTGTACATCTATACAAAAAAATTTTCTTACTGCCTTATAAATAGAACCAAAAATTATCTTTTCTTTCTGCCCTATAAATAGAACCAGAAGAGTATGTTTTAATGAAAAGTTAATGTATTTTAAGGCAGTATATTTTAAATGGGAAGAAGTACATTTACGATCATAAATTCCTTCCATAATACTATGACCCAAAGAAAGCAACAGACATAATTAGTAGAAGTTGGGTGATATGCAGAGTTGCCACAACTACCCCAATTAATGATCAGAAAATGATAGAACAGCCAAATTAATGCACTTCAAGGGTGGCCATGGATCATAAATTGCCGTCAAAAACATGAAAAAGCAATAATCGTTATCACATTTTTAAAAAAGGGGAAGCTTGTAAGTGAAGAAAGGACAACAAATGATACAATTTGGGACCAATAAATCTAATGAAATGTCTGCCGTTATCAGATCAGCAGCTCTTCATTTTGTCCCCTCAACTTGCCAGATTACTGACACTAACTATGCACAATTTATGACATCGGACCAGAACTGTTCACCCTCTTTTCTTATAAATCTAATCTATCTCTTTCTCACCATTAATTCTCTTCTAACATCATAACGACAGCTCTTCTATATGAGTTTATTATTCTTCACAATTAATAATGTTGTTCTCAACCATTGACAACACCAGATTGTTGCCCTTTATTTATTTGTATTCATTTTCGCCCCCCTCGTTATCATCATATTGTAACTTTGTTTCCTTTTGTCTTTGTTTCTTGTGTTACTTGTCTTAATTGACCCAATTCTTGTATAATTAGATAGTACGTTTGTTTTATTAGTTTGCATGTGTTTAGTTATTTATACTTTATTGGGGAAAAAAACCCAGATTTTGATATTTCTCTTTCCATGAGCCGCTTGTGCTTGAATAAGCATGGTGATCAAATTAATTAAATAGTTGCGCACATATATATAATCTGTATATGCATGTGTGATTTTTAAGAAAATTATAACATGAATGTACCCTAAATCGCTGGCTAGCTTTTATGCATTATGCAGATCGATGTCTTATAGGTTACACTCACACAATAATCATATTTCACTACAATTATTTTCATTGGCCATTAATAGCTTATTGCAAAATCCTACAATGATTGAGATTGATTCTGGGTTGAACATATCTTCGTGGAAAAGAATATATGGTTGCCAGCAGCCTTTGAATATGCTTCACCGAGGGTTACAGCTGTTTTTTATATATATATATATATATATATATTTACATTTTTCATCAAGCATCTTTAGTACATCAGTGGCTTAATATATATGTATATTGATAAACTGATTTTGTGTGCGTATATATATCTATCAACTTAAAGGTGTTCATGATCAGTACTTAGTGGGGCATATAATGCAACCCACAATAGCAACATTAACTTTCCAGTAGAGAGGTATCACGCAACGTGAAAATCATCCTCCTCCAATTTGAACCTATTTGTCTCCCATCTCTCTCTCTCTATATATATATATGTATATTATAGTATGAATGATTGATGTCAAAAAGATGGGCTTTGCTTGTGAAAGAAAGCTTAATATTCTGCAAACTTCGCATCTATCACTGCTTTTTAGCTTTCTCTATTGCACACAAAGTCAAGACGCAAATCAAAGAGGAAAAGTAGTAATTGATAGATCACATCTATATATATTATCAAGCTTCACATCTATCTATCTATATATCGTGCTTTCACACACTGATCATCATCACTCAAGATATATATATATATATATATATATGTAAAATTTTATACATATGGACAGAATCTGTAGGAACCTATTAAGAAAAAGGGAAGAAAAGACATGAAAAAGAAAGTGGTAAGAAAATAAAATACACCATTGATCTGATTCCTTCTTTTTCTCTCCTCATCGATCAGCTTTAGCTTTTTATAATAATCACGATAGTTATGTAATACTGACTAACATCACCTTAAAAGTTAGAAACCAAGTGAAAAACCTAGCTTTGGCTCAATAAAAGAATATACAAAGATGCCTTTCAGCAAGTGACATTGTACAATATATATAGCAGCACCCTATCATATTATATATATATATATATATATATATATTATCTGTGTGCATTAAATCTACTTGTTCTTTTAATTTCCGTCTTTTGAAGCGCTATTCAAGAATCATGACGTACCAAACTTTAACTAGGCACGTTCGTTGCTTTCCCACGTTGATCTCCCCAGGGTAAACTCCAAGCTTAAATTCTCAGAGTCCTTCAAGCTTCTTGATTGCAAAAAACTATTTCCCTGCACAAAGCAACCATTTTTATACATCAATCCTGGCCACTGTGTTACCCATCAAGTCTGAAATCTCTCTCTCTCTCTCTCTGTGATCTCTCACAGACATATAGTAGTCAAACAAACTCTAGTGACGAGGTTTAGATCATCACCCCGGAAGACTGTTTCTCAGTTATGTGCTGATGAGAAGATGATAAATTGTCTGGTGGTCTAATTCCTTCAAAATCTCTGGAACTAGCTTGTGTCCATGCTCTTCTACTGCAATCCACATTGGAAAACAAAACGTGTTAGTTACTACTCTTAATTTTGTCGACTATATATTGCAAATGAAAGCCAAGTTATTATATATATTATAGTGCGCCTCTGTGAATAAAAATTTATGATAATATGCAAGGTCAAACGTCAGATAAGAAAAAAATGTCATATGAGAGACAAGATATAAATAAGCCTTTGATATGCAACACTGTACAAAACTAAAAACATCATAGATTTGCTCTTAAATTTCCTGCGGAAGACTTTGGTGGTCGGCTTCTAGGCTCTTGTATATTAAATAATGATCATACTGTTAAGAAGGAAAAACATGACCTTATAGGGACAAACAAATGACACAACATTAATAATTCCAAAGCACAAGCCTCCACTGTTTAACTTGAGTCAAAGAAATTCAATAATGTTTCGAATAATTTGATAAAATTAATTAAATTATGTATACACATAAACAGCTTGGCTCTTGACAGGCTTACAAGCTATGCTTCAAGTAGATAAACATGACTGTTAATTTAAACAAGCTAGACAATGAGATAGAATCATTGATCTATGAAACAGAATTAATCACTATATTATTTGACTGTATTAGCTATTCGTTGACTTTAAAATCATATATTCCACCAATTGGTGCACAAATGTTGTTATACCGACCCCAAAAAAGAAGAGTTGGAGTGAAAATTGTGAAATGAAACACTTATGACTCAAAAGGGGAAGAACATATAATATATACAAACTATAACCAAGACTTTCTGTATATTAATTAGGTATCTGATATTATGCAAGAACCGACTACACAGGCACGCACACATATTGCAACATTATATTTCCTAAAAATTATATCAGACAATGAAAGTTCAATCCTTTATCAAGTACCGTTCTAATTTATTTACAGAATAAGATTGTGTGCGCACGTGCCTGGCCATATTGCAAATTCATGAATAAACTTTTTGAAATCATCACATGGGCAAGGGATTTCGATTTTAGAAATTAATTATCCTTCTAAAAAATTTAGCTTTCGGAAATAGCTAAGTCTTCACACACGACACGGCATGCTTGTATTTGACCAATCATCCACGAAGTTCTAGTTGACCATTTCTTTAATCTGCTTTCGTCTGCTTTTAGGACAACAAAAGGAGTCACGTGAACATCTCATGTTTTATGTGCTAACGCATATGACCTATCCTTAATATATAATACACACACACACACACAAGATTTTTCAGACATTTTATATAAATATCATTAATTTTTAAAATTTGGATGCCACCTCATAATTACAGGAATAAAAATGGAATATCCTTTATTGTCAAAAGACCCAGAAAATTTTAAAAAAAATTGTGTTGAAGGTCACAAAAATTGAATATATGCCTAGCAAAAAGGAAAATTCTAGGAGAGGAAAGAAATAAATAAGTGAACTAGTACTTGTTCTCTCTGATATTTGTCTTGAAATATTGTACATTTTCCTCTAACCAGTTAACTTTTATAGTTGGTTCTTTGATTTATTTGTCATATCGCAAAAATGAGGAAACTTATATACTTAAATTTATATGCTTAAAGTACTTATTTTTAATTAAATCTATACGTATGTAATTTTTATAAATTTCTATTCTATAAAAACTACTATTATTTTAATATCATTAAAACTTTAAAATTTCTACTTGTTTTGATTTAATTGGACAAAAGTATACCAAGTGTATATAAGGCCAAGTACCTAAGTCTTCTCCTTGGAAAATTATTTCCTTGTTGGCTTAATTATAGATATTGTCTGTTGTGTTTTGAATCAAAATATGACTGATTACCATTTAGAAAAGGAAATATTGAACACTTACTCTGATATTTGCTTCCCAATTGCAGATTTTCTCTTTGTGGTTTATAGACTAATTTTTACAATTAATCAACTCGGAAATTGCAATTGGAGCAAATTTATATATAATTAATTAGGGCTATATTTCTACATGTGGTGTTAAGTAAGATTTTTTCTGGGGGCCAAGACGGCCAACATACTAGCCTTAAGCTTTTTAATAACACAGACACCCACACACACCCACAACTCTACTTTAGACATGAATTTTTGCTATGAGACTAATAAATTTTATTTTCTTTGCTTTTGGCCATTTTTCTTGCTACCTTCCAAGACCATCTTTATGAAGGCTGTAAATTTTATTTTCAGATAGATTTTTATGTTAGATATCGAATTAGACTATTAAGGTCTTAATTTTTATCTTTGTGAATATAAGGATAAAGCTTTAATTTTTCCTCACAATATTACTTTCAATTTTCTCCGTTGAAGGCTTTACTTGGATGTCCTCTTGTTCTTGTTAAAGAATAAAAAAAAATCTTTCATTGACAATTTTAAAAATATCAGCTTTAGGAAAAGCTGGAAATAGCTTTTCCTAAGCTTTTTGCCTGAATTCAAATGTGTATGTGTGCGTGAGAACTTTTCTTGAAGTCATTTTATGCTTGTACAAACACCCTTTTATGATTCCCAAGCTTAACCGAAAATAAAAGACCTAAAGTCCACCACTCGTAGCTTCCCCCATATTTTACTAACTTAAAAATGCAAAATTTTTACAATATATAATTAAAGATCTTGTCCGAAATATAACTGTTATAATACTAAACTACATTATTCGATAAAGTGATAAGAAACATAACTAACCAGAAAATAAAGTATAACTTAACTGATATATAAGATAGGGTTTGGCATAAAATCCAAAGAAGACCATATACTTTTGCCATCTTAAGAGAAATTAACCATACCCTCTTATTGTTAGAGCCTAAATATAAACAGTGTCTTCTACATTTGTGTCTGTATATGTGTGTTTGTTTGATGCCTAAACAAGTAAAATCATGTAGAAATGAGTAACTTGGAATTACACCAAAAAGGATGTTTGTACTATTTCCCATATAATTTCCACATGATGGTGTGTGGGCCGTCCTTTGTTAGAAGAGAGAAGTGAGTGTAAAATTAACTGTGGTAGGTCACATGATGTCGTCTGAGTAATTAAATTATTTGTGTACCACACAGAGACACCTCATTGAAGGTTACCATCTGTTCTCTGCCCTAATTAGACTGCTTTTTGCAGTACAATCCTCTAGAGTCAAACAAAGCTTTCTATCTTCGCCCAAACTAAACAGGCTACTCTCATTTCCTATGCCTATTAAAAGCATGAATACTTTATTGGTGGCTTTCATTTCTTGTATATTTTGCAGAGTTCGTCAGATCTCTTTCAGTGTGAATAATTATGACAGTCATGAGTTTTTAGTGCGTTTTGATTGGCTTTCTATGTTTCAAGGAGCGAAAATTTCTTGCTAAAAAGCCATCTTAGTGGGCATTTCTTTTCTTCTTCTTTGTTTCCGTTTTTGGTATCAGCTTGTTGTCGTTTCTGATAAGTAATAATAGATTAGTTTCCTATCTGCCCATGCACTAGATTTTATTTCTTGATGAATTTGAATCAGAAAGAGGAAGTAGAGTACTGATCTTTGACAGGGAAAATTAAAGATGGATGAGAAACCGCTCAAACTGGATAGTGTAACTGTGTTGAGTAATAATGGCATCATCAATTATTGAAAGGACTCAAAAGAAAGCAAGTCAATTAAGGAAGTGCAGATATAGATGGCCCAAGAAAGAATAAGAAGATCAATACAGAAAGTAGAATGTTAATCATGAGGAAAAAAAACTGAAGTAGTGGAGAAGAAAGTGAACTTGGTATATATAGAGATGGATGCCGAAAGAAGCATATATATAGAGAAGAGAAGAGAGAAGCAGTAGGAGCTATATAAAGAGCTTTAACTTGTTCGTCAGAAAGTAAGCACAATTAGTGGAGAGAAGAATGAAAAAAGAAGAAGAAAAAGTAGTTGTCAGTAAGAAGCATATTTCTTAGTTACACAAATTTAGAAGGGTATGTGTATAGAGACTTGAGGTTTCTTATCATTTCCTTGCTTGATTTAAACTCAATTTCTAAGTGGTGGAAACAGCCATACTAACCACTATAATGCACAACCAACACTAACTAACACATTATATTGCCTTCTCGATCTCTCCTAGCTAGCTAGATCGATGTAGAGAGGCATATTCAAAGTTATTAATTAAAAAATGAGCATAGATTCAAATCTCGAATGTGAATTCTCTCTGTGACTCATTTTGAAATCATCATGTCTTGTCGAATCAATTTGAATGGTATAATTATATGTTTTTTACTGCAATATAGAAAATTACTTATTGATTAATTAGGAAAGATTCGAATAGTTCAAATTAGTTAATTATCTAGTTTAATTATTATATTGAACAGTCAGATTTCAGAGTTAAACTATACAAATGCTTCTTATATATATATATATATATTTATAGAGAGAGAGAGAGAGAGAGAGAGATTACCTAGAAGAATTACTCCACAGATTGCTGCCAGTGTAGGCCATATCCTGATCTAAAGACGATGCATTTGTAGGGCCTCTCTTGTTGGGTGAAAAATAGTTCTCATTTTCATTTAGTGGTGGAGGCGTTAGGCTCATGAAATCTTCATCTCCATCTGATACATATTTATAGATCAGAACTTCCAAAATATATACATAAAACTTATATACCATAACAAATATTTTTTTTTTAACATGTGCTTGCTACAGCTTTATGTGGGTAACGCAGTTATGCATGCATGTACAAAACCAAAAAGAGAGAGAGAATTATTAATTAATGCATATGAATAAGGGGGATGAGTCATAAAGGGAAGCGAGGGAATCTTGCAAAAAAGAAAATCAATTTCACACTTTATAAATCTTTTGGGAGCGGAAGTTAAGGAATTCATTAATTAATTGGTGAATTGCATTAATTGGGTTAATTAAAATATATAATTAATTATCATACACATGCAACGCAAAGGTTAAAACAATACGAATTACATTATATTACCTGAGGAAGCTGCAGGTTTGTCAGTGTTCTTAACAGTTCGATACATCTGCAGAAGCCAAAAACAGACAAGATGAGAGTGTATAAATATATATAAAAAAGTAGTAATAAAGCCAAAGTATAGTAATAAAGAAGATTAAAAAAAAAACGGCAGGAAAATAGAAAGATTAGGGAAATCTAAGTTTTTCAAAGTGAAGGGATTAATGAAATCTGATGGTTCTGTCTTTGGGGATTTTTCAAGATTTCTTTATTAAGCACGAGGTTGATGTTTGGTAAGGTGAGTAATTGCTTCTATTATTGAGAAATGATGGCTACTTTTCTCTCTCTTGAAAAGTAGAAGTTGTCCTATTGCAGACCACAGACTCAACTGTTCATCCCTTCATCCATTCACTGCATTTCTCTCGTCCCTTGTGCCGCTTTGATGGACTTTGAACAAAGTCCACACACATCCACAGAGCAAGACGCGGAGAGAAAGAGAGATCATACAAGAGGGAGAGAGAGGGTAAATGCAGAAATTTTCATCTCTTTGGAAATTCTATCGTTATTTTGCAGAACCAGAAGAACTCATTTTGGAGTTTTTGAATCAAGAAGAGAGGTGAATGAAGAGGGAATAGTGATACCTGCAAATGGCTCTTCACATGGGCTAGTGTTAGATCTTTCACATCCATGAGCTCCAAAACTGACTTAGGTGTTGCTCCTAAACCATATTGTTCAGTCGTTCAAGAAATTAATACCCAGATTGATCAAACCCACATGAAAAAGGGACAACACAGTGAAATATAAAGAAAGAGAGAGATGAGAGAGACGGACTGTCATGGCCCCCAAGGAGCTCCACGGCGTGAACAAAACGAGCATGAAGAGAGCTAGTCCAACGCATTCTGGGAGCCCTCATGTTCCTCTTGTTACTGTGAAGCCTATTAGGCAACATCTTGGACCTTCCAAATCCGTTTGAGAAATCAGAGTTTGAACCAAACTGATGATGATGATGATGATTCAAGCAGTGAAACTGATGATTTGGTTGATGGGGTCTTATCAAACTCTCCATACTTATCCCATTAAACCTCGAGATTGGGTGCTCCACCATGTTGTTATAATTACCACCACCAAGAACACTGTTATTATTGTCGCAGGGCCTATAACTACTATGATAAGAAGAAGCTGAGGAGTAATTAGGATAGGGAAATTGTTGAAGTGGGTTTAGAGAAATATTAGAATCCTGATGAAGTGGGATTCCTCTGGTGGCTCTTGAATTGAGTCCCTGTGAAACCCAAAACCCACCACTACCGTCCTCTTCTTCCCTGCCTCGGACAACGACGTCGTTCAATCTTGCCGTCGTCCTCCTCCTCCAGGGGCTCTCAGCCTCATAACCACTTGTGGGAAGATGATTGAAGAGAGAGACGACATGGGTTTGTTCTTGAGGGCTTCCTCTGATTGAACTCTCACTGTGGGATTTGACGCCATCTACTTCTGTGCTGCTTCTCCATATATCAAACGACGAATCTGCTTCTTCGTTATTTCCGGTGCAAATTGAAGAAGGAGCACTGTTTGGAAGGCTTATGTGAAGAGAAAGATCAGGCATCGGATTCGATGATGGGTCTTTGAAAATCTTGTTATTCTGGGGCATTTTAAAGTGGGAAACACAAATCCACTCAATATACTCACAACAGCTACGAGAACAAGAACAACAACAACAAGAAGATGGAAGAAGGAGATATAGAATTCAGAGAACAACCCACAGGAGAGACAGCGACAAAGTCACAAATTGCTCATAGTGGGGTGCTTATTCTTGAACTTGATATAGTAAAAAGAAACAAAGCAAGAAGATGACACTTGGAATATATATAGAAGTGATCGATTACTGATTAGAGATACAGGTGCAAGCTCAAAGCATCAATATATAAATGCGTGTGTGTGTGTGTATAAAAAATACTTATACGCTGCTATAAGCTAGATGGGAATAAAAGAAAGACCTTTATTTTGGCCTCTTCGTCAAAAAACACACATCCTTTAGTGAGTAGAGAAAGAGGTGGGGCGTGGTGTGGCGAAATAAAAAGAGAAAAGAAGAAAAGCAGAAAAGAATTGGTGATGAAGAGAGAGAGGCTAGAGAGGGAGATGTTTGTGGTTCCTTGATAACATTAAGAGTATATATAGGAAAGCGACACTCCAACAAAGCCTTTTTCTTTCTTTCTTTTCTATGTTAACTCTCCTTTTCTTAATAGTCAATATAATATACACGCTAACTACACTCCAACCTTTGGGTTATCTCTCTCTCTCTCGCCTTCTAAATTTCTCTCTCCGACACACCACGATGTAAATTTCTAAATCTTTCTCACTCACCAACAGTTTTATTAGTTTCTTCAATCTTCTTATCCCCTCTCCATTCCAATTACTTCTTCATATATGTTATCAAACAGTTTTAAATCTTCTTATTCATATAAGGATTCGAGTTGATGGATACATGAAGATTAACCATTTGTGGCTCTAGAGACATCTTATAATAATAGATCAGTGACACCTAATCTTCTGGGGATACTAAGTTTGACAAATATGAATATAGAATTGAAAGGAGATTCCTCGCAGTACTGATATCTGTAGAGTGACTTGTTTTTGTTGTGTATATATTTTTCAGTCAAATAAAAACAAGATGTAAATTATTTTTTTTACCAGACCCTGGTTATCCGTGAGTTTTAGGTCGTCTGGCTAGCATTCATGATTTTTTTAATGAGAAAATTAATTAAGGGTAAAGAATAATTATATTCCTTAGTGACGTATTTGAATAACATATCCAATTTGTGTGATGGAAGAAAGAAAAATACAAACAAGTGTTTTTCTTGGTTTGCCCATTACTTATCCTCCTAGAATACTGATATTGATATGCTTTTTTATAAATTAATTGCGTGGAAGCTTATGATTCATATAGAAATATATTTAATTTAGAGCCATATATATGCTTCTGGTCCAACTTAAAATATGTTGAATTTTTCTCCTGACTTTGTTATATATATATATATATATATATATCATCAACGTCTCTTTATTAATCACACAGATATATAGTCTTGATCAATGTGAACTCATATCAATTTCAATTTTTATGATTGAGTTGAATTTTCATTAATATATAAGACATTATGCTTCTGTCAGCCTCTATATAAGAAATACTTTTGGGACGAAGTTTTTTGTTTTGATTTATTTTTTTTAAAAAAAGAAAGAAAGAAAGAAAACACCTCAATCCGTAAAACTCGATTTTTTTATTCTCACATTTAAATAAATTAATCAGCCATCGCCTTCGAAAAATTTTCATGTTAATCAATCTTGACTTCGTGATAGTCTAGCCGTTTGAGTTTTGATTAGTCCAAGTCTTTTGCGTTTTTTAATCTTTGCTTGTAAAAAGGCCATTAGTACAAACCCAGAATTAGGATTCAAACTCAGTACGGTGTTTGAATTTTCAATACAATCATATGTCGGACAAATTAAAGCAGATAAAATTTCTTATAAAAAATAAAAATTAAACTCAAATGGTTCAAGGGAATTTTCCTCTTTTTGAATAAAAAGCAATGCATAAAGTAAAAAAAAAAAATCTTAATAACCCCGTTTTATAAAACAAGAGCATGAGAGTTAAAAAGATATTATCCAAAATATAAAAACAAAAATGAAAAAGGGTTAATGCCATAAAATCTTCTGCGGTAGCATTATATAATAGATAATGGCTCGAATAAAATTAGACATGATAAAAGAGACTAATTTCTCACAATGTAAAGAATTAATGTTTGAATCCTCTATTAAAAGATATACTTATATTTAATATCTAACAGTATTTTAGACAGAATTATTTTCACTAAAAAGAACGTCCGTAAACAAAGAGAAAGGGGGTAAACACAAAAGATTGCAGCATAGTGTGACATGAAATTTTCTTAAAGCGTATGACTTCTACCAAATCTCTCCATAAATTCCTGTAGAAGAGTTATATAATTCATTGTTGAAATGAAAATCTGAGACAGCAGGAGGTAAAAAAATTTTGGATGAGGTTAAGAGAGTAGAGGGGGAGAAAGTGGAGAGATAGATGTTAAAAAAGGTGGACGGCATAAAGTTGTGAATTTAGCATTTTGTGGGCAATAAATGAAGGGGTGGGTGTGCAATAGTCTAAGCAGCAAGAAATATTGATGTTATGATCAGTGGACCCATTGACCTGATGCATGTGTGAAGAGACGCAGAGACACACACAGACACAGACGCACAGAGAGAGAGAGAGAGAGAGAGAGATCGAAGGGTTGTTTGTTTGTTTTCTTTCATTCATTGGTCATCTTAAGCCCTAATTTTCAAATACCTTTGTAAGTTTCTTAATTCCTTTTCATTCTCCTAAATATTCCTTTTTCCAACAACAACTTTGTCAACCATTTTTGCGTTTTGTTTTTTCATTCCTCACTAGCTACTTGCATGCATATCCCCACTTATCATCACTTGTGTTTATTTGTATATATGCATTTTTTTTTCAAGTTAAACTTTATTTCACAACCTCTAGCTGGTGGCATCATGTAAGCATATGGCTAAGAATAAAATTATACGTCGTATAATTCTTACTCGTTTTTGGTTTTCGATCGTTACCTAAAAATTCCATCACAGGAAAAAGTAGAATAAAAAAAAAAGGATATGATGATTAAGAATCAAATAATTGACATGAAATCGTCTATAACCAGATAAGGCTTTAGTTAGTGCTTTATGTGAATTATCTACTTTTAATGATAGCAATATTGATTGGTCATTTTCTTTGGAAAGAATTATATTCAAAAACCCATATTTGTTTTGGCCAAACCCCCCCCCAAATGTTTTGAAAAATAAAAGTTGAAAATTCTTTAAAAATTAAAATCATCATTATTTTCAATAACTAAATTTATTACCGGATTTCCCCAGTTCATTATTGAATATATGTGAAGATATGTATGTATATGATCAATAGTAACCAGTCGTACTATTAATAAGTACGTTAGCATTTAACAAGTGATGAATATTGATATTCTTTTTTTTTTTTTTAATTTTATGTACAAAGTGTGCGGAAATGTGGGTACGTAACATATTTTGTCCCTTTCAAAATGTAATCAAGTCTTTTTAGGTGTTTGCACACAAGTTAAGAAATATAATTAACAGATTAAAATATTGACCACACAGAAAAATTCTCCCAAGAAATTAAACTTACTCTATATTAGATTGCTGTCTCATATTTTATGTTTGTGCCATCTGTCTCATGTAAACAAAAAAACCATGCGACTCAAGGCAAAACCATATCCATCAAACCCCATCATCAGGTATAAACTACTCTAGATTCCTGCATAAACTATATACGGATCGATAATTGATTTTGCAAGACTAGCTAGGGTTTCTAGAAGTAATTTTTGCTTTTTATTTATATTAATACCTCTGCGTTCTTGACCTCGTTAAATTAATCATAGCATTCTTAATTTCGATATTAAACAATATGTCCTTCATTTCAACTTCACAGGGAGACGACAAGAAATATGATTGACGGCGCTGCTACTTCCAACCCCTCCCACTGCCAATTGTGAAGCCCTATAATACATATATACATATATATATATATGTCTTCCCTATCTCTTCAATCAAGAAATAAATATTATATTACTATATTTATTATGTATAGGACTTCCTGGATTCAATAAAAATATTCGTATGGCTCTTCATCCTAAAAGCCCTCATAAAAAATGCATATTTATATGTAGTTGAAATAAAACAAAATTTAAAGTGAACTGATCATATCATACTGATGGCCTGGAACTGAGATTCTTATTGATAATTTCGTTTGAGAATTTTTAAGCGTAATTTTTTTTCCCAATATTAGTACGTATGGCATCTATGCTTTTTGAATTAATAAGCAGAAAGATCTTTCTTCTCTTTTTCTTTTTGGATATCAATAAGAGAGAAAAAGATTGAGAGAGAGGAGGGTTAAGTAAATGGTAGGTATATATCATAAAAGTAGATACAGTAATATGCAGATAGTGGGATGGTTGGGGTTATGCTTTGCTTTTGGTGAGAAGCAGTAAATAAAGATACTACTTTCTGGATTTGAAGAACAAAATAATTAAATACTTGTTTAATTAATTAATCAATTATATATACATATGAGACCCCTCTCTAATTGAGTCTACACAAATCGACTATGGTCTATGGACGATGAAAATTAAACAATGGTATAGCCTACAGATCGGCTAAATAGGATTGTACTATATTTTAATTAATTGTTATTTGAAAAAGTGCAAACTGTGAATAATGGTGATGTGCGTGGTGAGTTGATTCCATTAAAGAAGTTACAAGTTCTAGACATGTGGTCTTCATTTCCACTCATGTATAAAGTTATTTATTTTAAGCCTACATATAAAGATTAAGAAAATTAATTTAGTTATTTGTATTTAAATGTAAGTTAACTTTTCTAAAACACCATTTTCAATTATTTATTGGAAACTAACTTCATTGATAAAAATGTTAAAGTGAAAATTTGTTTGAAAGTTTTCACTTAAGAATATTGGGAATTTGAATTTTTTTTACAAATTTAACCCAAAAATTTAAAATCATGCTACTTTTACCCCCTATACCATGTTGCAAATTAGGAGTGTTCAAGGCCGGCCCATTCCGATCCTGGTCTTATTGAGACGGGACGGGACGGGGTCGTCCCGTCCCGGTTCTTTTTTTTTTTTTAATTTTTTTAATTTTTATCCTATTTATATAATATCATTTTTTTCATATTTTTTTAAGATTTGAGACTATTGTATGGAACTATGGATATATTTATTTAGATTTTTATATTTGTTAATGATTTGAGATTATTGATTATTAGAATTTTTAGTAAGTTTTTATTGTGTTAAAAGATTTTGTTTAGAGTTTTTAATGACTATTATATGTAATATTTTGAGCTTTTGTTTAAGAGTGCCCAAACAAATAAAAAAGAAAATAAAAAGATGTTTTTATAAGGTTTAAGCCCAAAAAAATATAATTAAAAAATCATATTTTTTTAAAAAAATAAAAAAAAACTTCGGGACGTCCCGGTCCC